ACAACAAAAAAAAAATTTTACTTAATAATTAACAGAATTCTTAAAAGGATAACACTCACATAAATAACATTATATTTTTATCAATCCCTCGATGAATTTGTCCAATTTCCAATTGCAATTGTTGCAGCTTCAATCTTGATTCCAACGATGGCATACGACGGCTATTGTATGCTTCACTCAACAGAATTAACAGCAATTTTTAATTTATTTTCAATTAATAGAAATAAATCTCAAGTTCAATTTTATTTCTATTGTGTTTTCGCACTTAATTTTACGAAATATTTTAACTTGTGTTAGTTTTTACAAATTTTAATTTCACAGTTTTTCCAAAAGTTTCACTTTATAATTATTAATTTTTCAATTCACTTTGACAATAATTTTATAATGTTAATTAAAAATTTTTAAAGTTGCAAATATTTTTAAATTAGATCCAGATAATTAGAATCCAATTCTAATTAATTTCCCGAATTTAAATAAATTTTAGTAACTTTTAATTTTGATTATATTAGTTTTTGTAAATTTTGTTTTCACAAATTTATTAAAATATTCACTTTATATGTTAGCTACTAGTTTTTTAAATAATTTTATAATGTTAATTAAAATCCAGATAATTAGTATTCAATTCTGATTAATTTCACGAATTTAAATAAATTTTAATTACTTTTAATTTTTATTAATTATATTAGTTTTTGTAAATTTTGATTTCACAAATTTATTAAAATTTTCACTTTACAACTGCCAGTCCTTAAATTCACTTTCACAAGAATTAACTAGGATTCAAAGCTTTCAACATTATCTTCAATTTTACAAATTTACTTTTTTGATAGCGTTCAAAGCACGTTGGGCGCCAGTTAAATAAAACGACCTTTCGGTTGTTGGTGAGAAACAGATCTGATTTATTTTAATTTTTAAATTCTTAATTCTACCTTAACATTCTTAGTCTAATTCTTTCTTACTTTAAAAAAATGCTGAGTTGCAGTTCACATGCTGCAACCCGATTCCAATAAACAAATTTAGGGCAACCTGTCAACAGTATTGTGAGAACATTTCAATACTGTTGTAAACAGGTAAAATAATTTATACGTAATAAGCAATATTTATGTCAACTATGTTGACTTATAATAAATAGTAAAGTAAAATAAATAATTATATGTAGGGAATGTTAACTAATGTTAACTTATACGTGTCATTTTAGTAATGTGTTTCTTATTTCCAAAATAGCGTTATGTACAGAAATCGTTGAATAATATGTTCCCATTATCCAGGATTCATGTTTTCATTTTTATATTTTCTTTTCATTTTTTGTTTTTACATTTGTCAAAGACGGCTTTTATTTTCGTAAATCAAAAAAATTACATTTTTATTTTAATTAGAGAATTAGAGAAAAATACACGTTGTTACTCTTTCTTAAAAAAACTAACTAGCACACTACACTTAGGTGCGATTCGAACTGTCATGATTGACACATAAAAGTGTTTGGAAAAACATAAACGTGTTCCGAAAACATTCGTGTAGAAAGTGTAGAAAGTGCTAGAAGTGTTTTAATCATACCGCCAAATTAACAAATCGATTCATTGTGTTTTTGAGCGCATGTTGCTTAATTATCTTTTACCAACTCTAACCAACGTTAATTCAAATAAATTTTCTTGACTGTAGTAAAACATATAATGGATACGTACAAATATACGGTCCTCTGTCGTAGCTATCTTTCGCTTGAATTTTAATCTATTATGCTAATTATACTTCTATTACCATCCCATTACTTCTCATTGCACTTTCTAACAACGATTTTACGTGGTGGCTTATAACAGTTCTTTAGCACTGCGGCTAAGTTCCTGACAGTTGATTTCAATCTTTCTTTCGCTTTTGTTAATTCCACTTCAATAAGCTCTGTATTCTTAATACTAATACTATCTACGTTTCTTCATTTCCTCGTTTCCTAATTACTTACTCTATTTTCAAGAATCCACCACGGCATATATGATCTTTTTTTAGCTCTAAAAATTTCTTATTCAAATTTAATTTGACCAATCTGTCCCACGCTTACAACCTTGTGATCTCCAAGTGTATTTTTAACACCGTCAATTTTTGTTTTTTCCTCTTCTTCAATTTCCTCTTCTCCAGCTAAAAAGCTACTAATAGCTTTATATGCTGAGTCCTACGCGATGTATTGATGTATTTAGTACATCCGAACACATATATGAGACTTATTTTTCTTAAATTAATATAGATATGATATAATTATATATTTTCAATAACTATAATATAATAATTTAATCGCCTTAATTGAAGCAACACATCGTCTTATTCTAGTGCGGAATCTCTCCATCGATGTGATGTACTGGTTCTTTACAACGCACTTTTTTTGCTTTATTTTCCTTCGGAATTGATTGAGTTTCATTGTTTCATTGACATTGCAAACATTTCAAGTCATAATGTACAATGAACTTCCACTGCTTCCACCAAGGAATAGTGATTTTTCGTCTGATATCCAGGTACATCAAATATTGTTCCATTACAAAGAATACCTACCCTGTACATGATCGCTTCCACGACAAAATTGAAAAGATCACATTATGAGGGATCACCTTGTCTGAACCCTCGGTAGTTGGTGCACATCGTCGGAAAACTTTTTTTACAACACAAGGTAAAGGATACTAAGATTTCATTCCAATCATATTCTGTAGATAAGATAATCCTTGCTTCCTATCTGCAAATCACCGCCTGCCTTGAACAATTCTGCAGGTAGACCATCAACTGCTTTGTTGTTCTTTAGTTGCTGTACTTCATTATGGCTAGGTGATGAAATTTCAATACCATTATTTTCGATTGGAGACTCTAAAAGCGTTTCTCCAAAAGTGGAAGTGATAGTAATTATAGTAGTTTGGAAAAATGTTGCTTCCTTACTTTCAGCACACTTTGTGTATCTGCAACCAGATCACCATTTTCGTTCTTACATGTTAATGCTCCAGGCTTAAAGCCTTGAGTCAGACGCTTGAGTTTTTGATAAAAGTTACGAGCATCATTCTTGATTATACACACCTCGGTTTCCTCTCGCTTGAGCCTTTGTTGTACCCTCGATTCTTCCGACTTTTTATAATCTTCATCGTACCATTACTTTAATCGTGTAAGACGTTGGAAATCAAAAACATAGTTGCGTGTAAGGAGTGAGAGGTACGTCGGCATTCTCTACAAGTATTATCGGGATGAGAAGGTTAATTATTTAAACAGCTAGAGAGTTGAGCAGCGAATTGTTCGATTGTCTCTCGTGATCGTAGCTTACCGACGTAAAGTTTCTTCTATATACGTAAACGTATATTGTTGACAGTGTAATGGTCCGAACTTAGGTATTTCCAGCACACTTGGAGCGTGCCTTGCGTCAATCACGAAATAAACAGTCTGCTTTCGTGTTAATTGATTGAGAGTTAGCTACGTTGCCTTATGCATATCGCGATATGGAAATTTGGTGCTTCATATTGTCGTGTTTTGCACTTCAGGTAAATTTATGAAGGCTGAATTTTCCGATCTCTGAAACAAAAATTTTTTTCTCTTCAAAACTTTTCGATGATCCCCGAGAACAATTTTAACGTCATGGGCGCTACTGTGGTCATATATTACCTCGAATCTAGCCTAGAAGTTATTTTTAATCATGTTTTCAAATTCTTCTGCTAGCGCGTGAACACCAATTAGGGTGATATGAAAGAATTTTTACTTGATGCGGATTGTAGCAAGTTCACTTAATAGCGCTTAAGTTAAGGGGCATTCCCGATAAAATAATAAATATTATCAAGCTACCTAAGAAGGTACAAAATTAAAAATATTTTATTCGTGTAATAAATCCAACTTGCTATACGGTTGTGGGACCTGGCACACTTCATACACTATCATAAACAAGCTGCAATCCTTCATCAACAGAAGCCTAAGACATTTTAAAAATCTAGTGTCCGCGAACTAACGCAACAAAACGAATCTGTCATCAAGAAAGCATCAAAAATGGAAATCAATAAGCGCAAATATGGATGGATTGGCCATACGCTCAGGAAGAGTTCAAACTAAACACCCCACGCAGCGTTAGAGTGGAACCCACAGGCGAGGAAGAGGTAGGCCGAAAAATACTTGGCGCAGAACTGTCACAAACGAAACAAGGAAATTTTTTTGCAAGCTTAGAGCAATAGCTCGACAGCGCAATAACTGGAAAGCGTTTGTAAATTCTATAATATAAATTTGATGTACATAAAATGTTCTTTGTAATTAGAATAAATTTATAATTTCGTTAAAATATAAATATGTCCTAATAATAATAATAATGTTCAGGATCAACCTGGGATGTGTCTTCCACTCCATACTGTTGCTGATTTTGTTAATAATATAAAGTATGTCTTTGTTATGTGTCGAACGCTTTAAAGTCTACATAAAATACGTGTAACTTATTACTTCTTGAAATAACCGTGAAGTAACTTTTGCGAAATTCTGATTAAAACGTACTTTATGTTATGTTGCTATTGTCTAACCAATTTTTAATTCTATAATACAGGAGAGTTGTTCATACTTTTGCTGATGTATTAAAAAAAGTTGTTCTTCTTTAATTTGTCACATTATTTGAATCATTTTTTAACAGAGGGAACATCATTTCCTCACAATCTTCACAATCCATTCGTACTCCCAAATATAATATCTATTGACATCCTGGCCCATATATTCGTCATTGTAATTCCTTTTATTTTAACTGCTTTATTGATTCTTACAGGCTACAATAACAATATAGTTTAGGGGTCCTTTGTACTCTGCATTTATAGGTTCAACACAAATAGCTGTTTTTAAAATTCAATGTAATATTATTAATAAAAACAAATTTAATTTTGATATTTAATTTCCTTCGGGTTATTAAAGTTAATTTAAACAAATCAGTTAAATTATTATTATTTAATTTTATAATTTTATGATTTGGACAAATTTACTACTGTGTCTACCCAGCAAAGCATTGAACATAATTTTTCTAAACTAATGAATTTCAACAAAATAGGTACTGAGAAAGGAGCCTGGTACATTAGGAATGCGTACCTGGTCGAATTATGGTCGTTTGTATTTGAGACACTTTAACGAACTTGATCATGAGTTAGATGCTCGGCTTAATCGTGCATATGAGTATGCTAACAGATATTTATCTTCATTTTCTTCTCCGTTAATTGCTGTATTCGCTAAGTACTTATTTTTTTAATTTAATTTACAGTAATAATTCAAGATTTATTTTTTTAGAAATATATTGTTCTTAAGCGGCGGACTTCTTGTTTTAATACTGGCTCTAGGAATCTATGAAGAATTTGTATTTCAAGTAGAACATGTTCTTACATTAATTACAGTGCTTTCCGCCGTGGGAATAATTTGCAGGTAGTATTGAAAAACAAAATATATTAAATTATTTTTAACGTTTGTTTTTTTGTACTTTTTATTAAATTGGAACTCATTAATATATTATAAAATATAAGAATGGTATAATAATTATTAATGCCTAAATATGAACATTACTTTATTTATTCATTTTAACGTCATCTTCTACACATAACATCACATCACATCTACACATAAACTTTCATATATAACAAAACATTGTAACAAGTATTCTTTTAAGCTATGAATATTCAATGAAACAAATATAATTATTATTATTGTTTTGTATTATACTAGATAAGAATGAAAATATGGCAATTGTATAGAAAAAAAAGATAAAGCTATCTTAAGAAAACAAAACAGCAACAAAAATTTGTCTAAATTCTTATTTAAGTATATAATTTACAGAATGTCAAGAATGAATTCAAACATTGAAACAAAATTCACTTTTTAACTTATAATTGCAAAAACACTGCTTTTTGTTTAAATATAAAGATTTTTAAGAATCAATTTTCAATAATTATTATATTGAGAACATAAATATAAAAAAAAATTCAGTGGTTTGTTGTAAAATATGGTAAACAAAATCCACAACAAAAACAAATCCTACATCATTTTTAGACTGTTAAGTAACTGTTTACACAAATAATATAAATTTGTTTGATATAAACTTTAATGGAAATTTTGTCATATAATATTTTAAGTATTGATTATAGTCCTTTGTAGTATCTTTGATATATTGCAGCCTTTTTAATGAAATTAACAAACTATTTCATGACATTACTGTTTGGTATCAAATTTCACTTTTGCATTATTTAAATTTTAAGTGGTCTCTGAGTTTTTCGTTGCTTTTGACCCACTTTTTTTTTACATATTATCCTCTTTATTTAAGAAAAGACTTAATTTCGAAGATTGGATTAGAATATATACATTTTTTCAGGAATTTCTAACATCCCACATCCTAACAATATTTGTTTTGTGCTTTGAGGTATTATGGGGATGAAATTTAAACCGGCTTTTGCTTTTGATAGCCCAAATATATTCGTATTTCTTGTCAAATGACACTCCAAACTTCTTTAATATTTTTGGGCATCCTTATATAAGCGGACTCCCCAGTCCTTTTGCTTGAAATGAAGCCTCAAATTGTAAAATATACTTTTTAAAATTTAACAGAAAACGTGATATTCCGTTTAATAACGATGTAAACACCTTAAACCACATTCTGGTAGGTCCATCATTGTAGCACAGCTTAATTTATGACTCATAGAAGATTATAACATTGTCTCAGTATTTAGCAAGCTGTAAAAGAAACATAGCAGTGGACAAGAAATATTTTACAACATTTTCTGCAAAATGCAATATATTTCTACTAAAAACACTTGATAAGTGTTTCTTACGTGTTATGGCTCGTCGCTCTGTTATATAAGAAACAATAACAATATATTTCCTTGAGTTCCATAGTATAGACCCTGATCAAAATTTCCGGTTTTTCTATATTTTCTTCACAATAACATATTCTATATATGCTGTGAAATTGGTCTTAACGATAATTTTATCCTTTGGCTCTAATTTACTCTCGTATTCAGCTAGATTTAAAATATTATAAATAGTCCTACATATTAGAATAATATTTCTGATAGCTTCGGCACACTTTTTTTTCAAATGGCGGCTATAATATCTGGACTGTTCCACCGCAAACGAAAACGATAACGTTTCGTCTTACATTTTAAAATATTGATATTTAAGTTAGTGGAGTGAAAAATTTAGAAAACAATAATTGATTAAGTATCAACATCTCAGACAAGAAGCAACGTAATTTAAACGTAGTTTAAATGGTGCAAAATAACATGGATACACAAATTGTGTAAGCAGTTACTTAACAGTCAAAAAATGATTTGAGATTTGTTTTTTTTTTAAGATTTTGTTTATGTTACAACAAACTACTGAAGTTTTTTTTATGTTTATGTTCTCAATACAGTAATTATTTGAAACTGATTTTCCAAAGATCTTTATATTTAAATAAAAAGCAAAAAAAAGTGAATTTTATATGTAAACTCATTCTTGACATAATGTAGTTATTATTCTAACAACTTTCATAAATAATGCTGTGCATGTTTTATATCATATAGCAGAAAAAGTGTACGGACACTCATAAAATTTTTCTTAAATTTCCCATAACTTTTTCAATATTTTTTTTTTTTGCTCATATTGATTTTTTTTAACCAAAGAAACAACAATAATGTTCTAATATAAAAAATTAACAGTTATTCTTTAAAATAAAATTACACGGACCACTTCTTAATATTTAATTTAACCGTTAATTTTAATTCGCTAGCAAGCATAAATGTTTAATTAAATGATATTTAATTATTAGTTGACTTAAAAATATTTTTTTACATAAACAGTAAATTTTTACAACGCAAAATAAAAGACGTGAATTTAGTGTTAGTAAGAGACAAATAACTATTAAATTTTGAAAAGATGACGTAAGCCAACGAAAAATTGCTAAAAATATTGGTCGTCAATATTCATTTGTGCAGAGAGTGATAAATAACTTCCAGGAGAAGGGTAATTACGTTTCTAAGCCTCGCACTGGTCGCCCCTCAAGTTTGCCATATAGAGAAGGACGTGGCATAATCAATCAGGTGAAAGTAAAACCAAGAGTAACAGCCTCCAAACTGGCTGAACATATTGCCGAAAAACAAAATATGTCCTGATACCGTGCGGAAAATTTTGAAAAAAAAGCATGTATTATACCCGTTTTGCAAAAAAGAAGGCATACATATTAAAGTGCTGCATCAAAACATTCGTTTTTGCGGTCATTCGTTTTATTCTCAAATGTGTACCATATTTACAAATTATTTCTAAAGCGAATACGAATGAATAACAGAAACGGTCCGATAGAATAGAAAGTGTGCCGCATTCGTTTCAATGGAATGAGGGTTGATTTGTTCTCTATAATCGTTTGTTTTGAATTTTAAAATCAAATAAACAAATATTTTAGAGTATTTCAATCACTTTTAGAATATTTCAAATAATTCTATTTTTGCAAAGAAATATTTTATATATTTTGTGTGCGTTTGGTTGCCTGCGCAAAAGTAAAGAAAGTTGGATGTGCGTAGAGATTTGCAATAATTGCAAGAACAAAGTACGTAAATTAGGTTTAATTTTCTATTATTTTCAATGTAAAAGTTGTTTAAACAGGCAGATCTAATGCAAAAGGTTAACTTAAAAAAACGGTTTGCGCAGAATTTCCTTCTTTGTCGATAGTTTTTTATGATGTAACAAAATAAATTGCTTCACATATTTACCTTTTCCTGGAAAATAATTTTATGCATGATATGGTAAAAATATCTATTTATGACAAGAGAGATTTTTAGAAATTTCTTAAGAATTCCTTCAGAATTCCTACTTTACAAAGTTTCTTGTAAATTATTTGCAACACCAGCAAGTAGTGCATCTTCGGAAAGGGTTTTTTCAGTTGCTCGGAACTTAATATCAGAAAAAAGAACATTGATTTCATCTAATCAAAGATCTATCAATCAAATCATGTTTTACACAACAATCTTGTAAAAGAGGAATTAAGTCAGACGATGCTCAACATTTAATTTGAATATTAAATTAAATTTGTGAAATGTAAAAACTGTAAAAAAAACTTATAATTTTTTTAAATAAATTTTTGTTCAAAATTTTTTTTATATTTAATTAATATATTAAGTCATATTATATATGTAATCAACAAATTACTATTATCAATCAACATTTTAAATAATATTTAATTAATAAAAAAACTTAAATAAATAAATTTGGGTCTTACTATTTAAAAACACATAATTTTTGTATGAACTGAAAATCAAATGCTTAGAGTACTCCCAACTACTTCAACTACTTTTAGAATGTTTAGAGTTAGAGTACTCTAAACAAACGAAACTAATATTTATTCCATTCCATTTTGTTTTTATGCCTATACATTCGTATTTGTTCGTTGAGAGTGAGAGTATGCTACCATTCTAAACACAATAGAATGCTTTGAAACTGAAATCAAATGCGCGCGTGCAGTACTCTAATACATATCCAGATATAATATAATAAAATCCAGATATATCCAGATATAATATAATAAAATGATTAAGCTTTCCAAGAAAGCACGTAAATAATCCTATGAAGTTCTGAAAATGAGTTATTTTCTCCGATGAAAATTAGTTTTGCATATATGAAATCAAAGGTTGAAAACTTGTGTGGAGAAAATCATGCACATTCTATGGAGCCATAATGGTTTGGGGATGTATAGCAAGTAATGGTGCCGGTAAACTAAAATTTATATCTATATTTATGTATCTAAATATTCTAAAAACAAATTTGAAAAAAACTGACAGAATGTTACGGCTTGAGGCAAACTTTTTGTTTCAGCAGGACAACGACTTTAAGCATACAGCAGCGATCGTACGGATTTGGCTGCTGAACCATGCTCAGGCAATTTCAAACACTATTAGAAGCACCACACCTTAATCCCATAGAACATCTGTTGGTTTATTTAGAAAATAAGATTCGCCAGCATACGATTTCCAGCAAGGATATGTTCAAAAATATCATCAAGGAAGAATGGTTAAAAATAAAGGCACAGGATACTGCAAAGCTGGTTGAGTCCTTGCAAAGACGCTTAAAAGGGGTTATTAAACGCAGAGGTTCTCACACAGACTATTATATTTAAGATTTCTGTAAATATTAGTGTAAATATTAAGAAGTATCCGTAGACTTTTTCTGCTTCAAAAATTGTTGCTTTTGCATATAATTGTGTATAATTTTATTTTAAAGAATAACTGTTAATTTTTTATATTAGAGCATTATTGTTGTTTCTTTGGTTAAAATAAATCAGAAAACAAAAATCAATTTGAGTAAAAATTGAAAAAGTTATGCAAAATTTAAAAAAAATTTTGTGGGTGTCCGTACATATTTTCTGCTATGTGTACATATATAAGCATATTTTAAAATAAAACTCAGAAGATAATAATTAAATTTTGCTTTATGTTATATTTTTGAAAAATAATTAATATTATGTGCCTTTTATTTTTCCCCGCATAAATAACACATACGCTTTGCTTTTTATTTAAAAACGTAAAAAGAATTAGTTATAAAGACGTGATTAATTGCTATATTGCAACATTGTGTTTAACTATGCAGTTTTAATTTGGAAATTGTGAGACAAAACCAATGCAAATAATGCGAGTTGTAAAAGGGTTAACTTTATCATATACGACAATAACATATAAGTAATTATTTTTAGAAATAGTACTAATATTTCAATTACATACGTTTAGGTATCATTGTTGTAGAAAATTTTATATGTATTGTTAAGTAGATATTCATCACGAACATATTTTTATTTTCAGAAATTTAATACCAGATGAAAATCTTGTTTGGTGTCCAGAACAATTAATGACAGCAATTTTAGCACATATTCATTATTTACCATTTCATTGGAAAAATAATGCTCACACAATCAAAGTTAGAAAGGAATTTGAAACACTGTTTCAGTTGAAAGCGGTAAGTACATATAATTAAATAAAAAACTTTTTAAGTTAATATTATATAATTTACAGATTTATTTACTAAATGAGATATGTAGTCCTCTGATAACTCCTTTTATATTAATTTTTGTATTAAAACCAAAAGCTCTTGAAATTGTTAAATTTTTTAAGAGTTTTACTGTTTCTGTAAAAGGAGTGGGAAATGTTTGTTCGTTTGCACAGATGGATATTCGGAAACATGGTAATCCGGATTGGCAACCTTGTAATTTAGATGCTAATGCTGAAAATATAAATGAAATCATGCATCCTCTTTCAAATGGAAAAACTGAATTGTCGCTACTTCGATTCACTTTAACTAATCCAGAATGGCCATTGCCGAGTGCTGCCAAATATTTTGTCAAATCTATTCGTGCAAATGCATTACAAGAATTAATTAAAGCAAAAGAAACATGTACCAATAACAATTCAAATCCTATAACTCGAAGTTTATTATCTTTTGGAACAATTGCTAATGAGGTACAATATTTTATTAGTTATAGCTTTTATCTATTGCGGATAAAATGTACTAATTTACATTTTATGAATATATAGTATTCTTCAATCGCTAACTCTGTACTTGATGCTCATAATGTCCACGAAATTGGCTTGAGAAAATCAACACACTCTACTATCTGCTCGAAAGCTCCGAAATACAGTTGTTACAAAAATAATGAAGAAATTCAAGAAAGTGATTTTGAGCAAATGCTGCAACAGAATCTAAGTGATTTAACGCAAGAGCGCATAGAAAATATTTCAATATCTGCCGTTCCCGGAATGAAGAAAATGCGAGTATATAAGACTGAAGGGCGCCTGGAGGGACCATCAGACACATTGTTAAATAGGTAAAATATTAAACAAAAAATAAAAAGGATATTTCTAAGTCAAAACAGTATGAAACAACATACGTAACACACACAATATTGATTAATTGCATTTCTCGAGCTGTAGTTTATAAGCTCGTTATAATAGAAACACGACTAGTCTTCTAAGAAATCAGAAAAGAGTAATAGAAATTCCAAAGTTTGAGAAACCAAAATTTCTTACAATTTTGGCTAGTTCGTTTAAAATAACATGCTTGTGACTTGTTTTGTAAATTTGAATACAAAAATTTAATTTATAAGCCAAACAATAAAACGTGGTTTTGAAGTTATTTAGTTTTAATTCACTTCAGTGCATATAATTATAAATAAATATTTTCAGCATTCATGGAAAAAATTTGCACATCAATTCCGTTAACATAATGATTGCCGACATGTGCCTGAGTGCTCTTTATTTGCATGAGTTAAATAAAAGAAATGTAAGTACTTACTATTACAATTAATTAACTAAAATAATTCTCAATTACTACTTTTAATTAATTTTAAGTATAGTTTTTATGTGAGTTTTGTATAAGTAATAAACGAAACGAATATATTTTTTCTTTGTATTTTTAACAAAAATAAGGTTTTTTTGAAAATAAACATTTTCGGTATTAAATATTACATAGCATAAACGTTATATCCTCTTCAGCGCAAATGTGGTTTAAAGTTTTACAATTTTAATTCTTTCAATTGCGTCGTCAACGATATTGGTTTCTAACTTTTCTTTTTATGTATCACCAAAAACATAGTATATAAAAACATGTAATTTGCTTTTGTTAAAAAAATCATGAATTCTGAAAAGATACACGCAATGGGGTAAACATGTCTGTTGAAACGTATAAAGAATCGAACTTATTATTTTATGTATGATCAATGCTATTTTGTTAAAACCATGTTATGCAGAGTGTCGCGGGCACGGCATAAGTACAATTGTTGTTGTTTTTAATGCAAATTTTAAATTGGAGAATGAGGGAAAAAACAATACGGCCGTTCAAACTCCGGCATGAGAGCCGGCATATTTGTGCCCTGGCACTAAGGCAAAACAGTGTTGTTTAGTAATAAATTTCAAAATTTGCGCATTTTAAGAGCAATTTATACAATTCTAATACGTTTTGGAGGAAAAATTGCAGCAAACAACACAACCTTTTTTTTTATAAATCGCTAATAATATAATTATTACACTTTTCGATTTTAAAGAAACGACTAAGTACTGTTAACAATTTTTATAAGATAATACGAGGGCGATTTGATAAGTTAGTGACTTTGAATTTCCCGCGCAGGCACTCCAAATGCAATAATGCTACCATCAGCTGTTATCTACCAGTGGGCAACTTTTAAATTTTGAGCAAGCTACGTTGTTCAGTTGGTGTTTGATAGCAGTTCTAAGCAGACAAGCTCGTGAATTTTTATGAAAATGGAAAAAAGTAAGTTTCGTGTGCTGATTAAGCATTACGATCCCAAATCAACAAATTGGGATACGAATGCTACTCTATTCAGCATATTCTCCAGGTTTAGCCCCCTGCGATTATTTTCTGTTTCCAAACCTAAAGAAAGAGCGAATAGCTCGAATTTTGCCGTGCCCAAGACACTCTACATAACACGGCCCTTAGTGAAGTTATTAATCAAGACAATAGCGAACATATTGTGTTTTGCTTGGACATACCCATATAGAAATAACTTTAATATCAGAGCCAATGCACACATAGCTTCTAGTGCGTGCGTAATTAAGTTTTTTTGGTACACTTTTTCTATTTTTCATTATCGCACAATTACTGAATATCTTTGTATGCGTAGGTAGGTAAGACAACATTTTGAACCCAGCGTACACATTTTTAATCGCGGAAGCATCGTTCGCATTGCTTTTGCGTGCTTTGTTTTTCGCGGAAGCGTATTTAATTCAAACGCAGACGATGCTTCTGCGATTTTTTTGTATGGAAGAGTTGTCCATTGTCCGCGAATCGCTTAGACGCGCAACTATTCGCTCTCTAAAATCATCGCGAAAGGCGCGCAAATGAACGTTAAGCGCGATCATTCTAAATAGTGAGCATTCCTCTCAAATTAATAAGAGCTTTTAGTATTGCAACTTGTACATTTAAATTTTATTTTTTATATTGTTTATAATTAATTTTTATTGTAAATAAAAAGAAAGCACTAATATAAAAAAGTAAATAATATAAATATTAATAAATTATTACAAAACACTTATTGTATTGTAAAAAGTAAAGTAACAATATAAAAAAAGCAAATAATATAAATAATTAATAAATTATTACAAAACACTCTCTTGAGATTTCAGTTTCCGCTTCTTAATTCGGTCTTTGGCATGCACAAAATGTTATTGAAGCACCGAGTTTATTTTAACATCATTCACATGTGGAAATTAAAGAAGACCGATGTCTGCAGAATGGGAAGTTATATATCAGAGCAATTTAATAATTAAAATATTTACCAGTTGATATATTATATATAAGTGTAGAAGTATTAATTTAATATTTTAATTTAATCTATAATTTCACTAATTTTTCTTAACCACACCACTTCACTGCAATTCGAGAGAACACTAAGCAATAATCGCTCTGATGTTTTATTTCTTTATCGCTTAACTGTTCGTTTCGTCAAAACCAAAATTTTAAGAGTCATAAACAGTATGCATTTTGTTGATGACGAAAAATAACAATCGCCAATAAAGTCGCTTGGAAGTTTTATAACTTCAGTTTTACTGTTTTATAACAGTTGCATATGCGGATGACATTGCCTTAACAGTTACTAGAAAATATGCAGTAAGGCCTGAATAAGCTTAAAAATTCGACACTGAAATGTGATCTCAGGATTAACCCCAGGAAAACAGAAATCGTAGTATTTACCAGAAAACATAGGGTTCCATATCTTTCTCCATTCTATATTAAAGGTTCTGCGATATAATTTATTGAAAAGCAAAATTTTTAGGCATTGTTTTCGATAGGAAACTTAGCTGGAAAGAAAATATTTCAGAGCGAGTTGGAAAGTAAACATTACACTGCTCATTTTTCAAAAAACTATTGATAAAAAGTGGGAATTACAATCACGTATCGCTTAATATCGGTCATTAAACCAATACTTCTGTATGGCATTACCGTATGGTGGACGGCCCTTGATAAATCTTCGTTCTGTACTGTACTTAACGGGGTTCAGCGCAGGGCTGAACTCTGTATTAGTGGTGCTCTGTGTACAACGCCATCTATGGCATTAGATCTAATGTTCCACTTAATGCCACTTGACATCATCAGTAAGCAGCTAGCAGTATCATCTGCCCTAAGACTCAAGGCTACATCACAATGTAGGGCTTGAGTCCATGGGCACGGTCATTCTTAAACTTTTGAGTCCTACTCCAAATAACATTGACTACACCCTTCCGATTCTCGACTTTGATAGGAAATTTATTGTTAAATTCCCATTCAGTTAAGTTTAGTTATCAGGAGGTTCCTCCCTAAGTGAGGGTCTAGAAATTTTTACCGATGGTTCAAAGGCTGGGACTGGCGTAGGCTGTGGAGTTTTCTCAGAGGGGCTGAATATATCCTGTTATAGGCTTCCAGATCACTGTAGTGTTTTTTATACAGAAGTAATTGCCATAAAGGAAGCTTTAGCTTATCTAGAAGTAGATAAAATAACTGTAAGGAATCTATATATACTATCGGATAGTCAAGCTGACTTAAAGTCCTTGAGTTCAGTCTAATCCCTATGATATCTAATCCCTATATCTGGGCATATCGTTGACATCATGAAAATCGCCGGTATAATCTAACCTATAAAAAATAAACCCTCGTTTGGCGTTTATTACCTTCTGCAAGCGTCCAGGAAGCGATTTTACTAATTTTGCAGTGTTTCTAAAGAAAAAAAAGCTGTGTTTATCGCATGTGATAAACACATAACATATCATAGCAAATGAACAGATTATCTTATCAGTGCGATCCTTTGCTTTCTTAAAGCTATAAATAGCAGTTTTCTCTTAAAAGTTTAATAGATACCGTTACTTCTACGAGTAAAGAGAGACACGCGATTGTACATTGCTTCGCGCTTTGTCCAAATACTTATGTCCACCATTGCACATTTATTTTCATATCGTTAGAAGATCGTTGCTTTTTTGTTTGCCTTCTGTTTCAACCGTATTGTTTCAACCATTTTAAAGTCAGGTAAATATTTTTCGCTTATTCGATTACAGCCTGCGCTCATCCAGCGCTCATCTAATCTTGTTTCCGTATCGTTGCATAGTTATAAAGTTTCTAGAGAAAGACTCGCCCACACCTAATTGTCTGATGGCTGTTTCGATTCTAACAACGGCAGTTTGATGTGGCATTCTAGTATTTTTGGAAATCTGAATAACTTTTTCATACTTTTAATTTTTTTTCATCCATTTCTGTTCCCACGTGCAACTAGATAATGTGTTCGTCCGTCTTCACAGGGTACGGACCCCTCCAACAACTCATTATATTAAGTAAGTTCTATCCCATAGCTCATTTTGGACAGTTAGCGTAAATTTTTCAATTTCTCACTGTATATATTTTATTTGCTGTTTGCTGCGTAAATAGTATTGTTGAGAGTAACCTCAAACTGGTTAATAAGTTTACAATTTTGGTAATAAAAACATACAAACCAAATATTACAAATAACAATATAACTGAATAAAATTTGTATTCTGCAATAAGTGCAATAAGTTTACTTAAAATGTGGTTTAAACTTAATCGTATATGTTTAAGTATCTGCTTTTGTTTCCTAGAATAGTATTTGTTGTACTTTTAGACAACAAAAAATTAAAAAATAAGATTTGAAGCAAAATTTGACTGAATTTAAAACTTACAAGTCTTTTTGCCCAAAAGTGAAATTATCGTTATGCGTCAATACAAGTATTCGTTTCACACACTTTTGTATTAACATTTTCGAATTTATCAGGTTAAGTTACTTTATATATAATTTAACATAATTATGCTTTGTGCACATTTTATGTCATGTAGCAAAATTGTTGCAAAATTGTTGCAATATTCGCACTATATTTGACATTGTATCGTGGTTAATACTTATGTTACATCGGAATAATTCAAGTAAATTGTAATCACAGTATTATTTTTAATTAATTTTATACTTTTTCATTTTTCAGAAAAGTGCTAATAACCAGGAATTAATACCGTTCAGCAGTTCAAGTGCAAGTGTTCTAAGAGAACCTGTCGAAAAAACACCTTTGCTTAGAAGTAAACATTCCTAGCGTCTGGGTGTGTGGATTTAGAACTTTATAGTTAACTAATTGTTTTTTTTTAATTCATTATATTTATTTCGTTAAGTTAGAAATTTTAAAAAATAAAGTTAAAATAGCTATCATTATATACTGTATTGTTTTATTATAAAATCATATTTATGAATAATAGAATAAAAAATCAAACACACATTTTCAAGGAATAGTTTCCCAAAATGCTAGATTTTATAACCAAAGCAATCCAAAGAAGGTGTGGTGATAACACAGTACACATACAAGAAATGAATTTGACAAAAGACTTAGTAAACTTAAAAAAATCTTAGTAGAAATTTAAAAGTAAAATATGTATAGCTTGTAATTGAGAAGTAAATCACAGGAAGTTGATTCATTGTTTAGTATTAACAGTAATAAAGTAGTTAAAAAAAACTGTTAAAGCCTTTTTGACTAATCGCAAATTTTGTGTTAGGATTAATTCAACTCGCTCCGATATCTTTGCTCTGTATAATGGGATTCCACAAGGATCTCCATTATCAGTAATTTTATTTATTATAGCTTTTGATCCATTAAGTAAAATAATATTAAAATACAATAGAGTTGAACATGCTATTTACGCTGATGATGGAATAATATTCTCCAAAGTTAAGGATATATCTACAGTTCAAGTAATCTTCACTGAGATATTAAATGACATAAAAGAATGGAGTAAGTTTTCCGGTGCTAATCTTGCCTTAAATAAATGTAAAATTTTGCACATTTGTAAAAAAAAGAATTGTAACCAACTAAACTTAAGCCACAATGCCGTAAATATCGAAGTTGTTAATTATTTGAAAATATTAGGTATAGTGTTTGACAACAAACTTAACTTTAAGCAACAATGTCTAGAATTAAGAAAAAACCTAGTTGCCAGGTTAAACATTATTAAATACCTTTCATCTAAACATTTTTTTATTCATGTATCAACTTTGATAAATATCACTAAATCACTTATACTCTCTAAATTAGATTACGCTCTACCACTCTTTGGATGGTGTGCAAACAGCAATATTAGACAGTTGAATGCTCCCTATCATGCTGCCGTTCGAAGGAGTATTGCTGCGTTCTCCACAACTCCAATCATAAACTTATTGACAGAAGCTGGGCTACCTACAATATCAAATCGAGTTAAGTTAACAACTTATAAACTTGTTCCTAAACTACTGTGCAGCAACAACGCTATTTTACATAAAGACGTTGTAAATGTATTCCATCAAAAGCGAACAAATAGAGTTAAGTCGACAATTGTGCGGTGTATCGAATATGCTAAATTCATCGACCTCGACATTAAACCTCATCGTATGATACAAAATCATGAGCCCCCTTGGTTTCTTAATCCAACATCTTTTGTAATCGACCTGCAAACCTATGGAAAAAGTAACACAACCACCAAAATGCATAGACAACTGTTTGCAGAATTTTCTGATTCGTATATAAAAAACAATTGGACTCTATTGTACACAGACGGTTCAAAAACTGAAAATCATGTCACATTTGCTATAATACAACAAAATGGCTCCGTAATCACTACTGGATTAGTTGCACCCCATTGTTCCATCTTTACTGCAGAGGCTCTGGCTATAAAACTTGCTACTGACCACGCAACATGCAACAAAGGCAAATTTCTGATATGTACCGACAGCAAATCTACAATTGAAGCTGTAAAAAATATCAATAATAACACCGACCTTATTTGTGCTATCAGAAACAACTGCATACGTTTTTTAAACAAAATTAAAATTATGTGGGTTCCTGGGCACGCAGGAATTAAAGGAAACGAACTAGCAGATCAAGCTGCCTCTGCCGTCATTCGCTCTCCCTTATTCTTATTCCAGACATCCGAAAGAAAAGACGTTTTAAATTTTATAAACAAACATATGGTAGACGAATGGGCTATGGAATGGTCAGTGTACAACCATCGCTACAAGTCGATCAATACCAGTGGTTTAAAAGCTATATACCCACAATCATGCACTCGTCAACAATGTAAGATTTTTATCCGATTGCGTATGGGACATTCAAAGCTTTTTCATGAACATCTTTTGAGTGGCGATCAGACATCAAACTGTCCATTTTGTAATAGCACACCATCCATAGATCATATACTTAACGATTGTCCTTCTTTTAATTCTATTCGTAATAATATCTTTCCTAATATCTTACCTACTAGCCTATTAAAAACAATTACTATTGAAAACATACTTTTAATGTATAAATATATTAAAGCCTGTAACATAGTGAATAAAATTTAATTTATAATATCCGAGCTGAAGGCCCTGGCAGCTAGCGCTCGTTTTTCTGATCTTAGTTATAAGATTTTATATTTTGTACAGGGACCGTAACAGTTATCATAAAAAAAATAAAAATCATCTTATAACTGTTATCATATGCATTTTAAAATAAAACTCAAAAAATAATAATTAAATTTGATTTTTATTATATTCATCAAAAATAATTATTATTATATGCCTTTTATTTTTTCGCGCAGAAATAACTCTTAAAATTTTCTTCTTATTTTAAAACTCACAAATAACTGGTATACTTGCGTTATATAATATAAAAATGAAGAGTATCGCGCAAATTCTGCGCGATATTTTTAAAATGAAAATATAAAATGCAATTTTCATACAAGGTAGTTGTTTATGTAATTCCATAGAAAATGTTTTAAAAGGTTGGTGCAGGTAAAGATTTAGTTCAGTTTTTTGTTTTTGTATTTTGGATTCATATTTTGTATTTATATTTGTATTTTGTAGGAGAACAAATATGTATGCAAAATACAAAAACAAAAAACTGAACTAAATCTTTACCTGCACCAACCTTTTCAAACATTTTCTATGGAATTGCAAAAACAACTACCTTGTATGAAAATTGTATGAAATTTTAAAAATATCGCGCAGAATTTGCGCGATACTCTTGCTTTTTATATTATATAACGCAAGTATACCAGTTATTTGTGCGTTTTAAAATAAGAAGCAAATTTTAAGAGTTATTTCTGCGCGAAAAAAATAAAAGGCATATAATAATTATTATTTTTGATGAATATAATAAAAATCAAATTTAATTATTATTTTTTGAGTTTTATTTTAAAAAGCTCATATATAAAAAGCATGCATAATATTAAGGATAAAAGTTATTAGAATGATAACTATTTACTTAAATAAGAGTTTAGACAACTTTTTGTTGCTGCTTTTTTTCATAAAAAATTTTAAAATAACTGTTATTTTCGGTCCCTGATTTTGTAATTAATTATAATAAATAAATAAATAAATAAAAAACATCAATTACAACAAAGGCAATATTGGAGTCCGAGTAGCTCAAAAGTAACAGAAAACTACTGTACATTAAAGGTAAACAACTCATGTATATAAGTTGTCAATAATAATCCATTTTTTCATTTAATCTATCAGAAATAAGCACTTGTAAATTGTGATCCCTATACATAAAGCATATAAGTGGATTTAGTGTTCTTTTCCTAAAGGTAGTGGTCTTCTTAGTGTCCGTTAGTGTACGTTTTTAATGTGCAATGTTGTTGCTTCGTTTGCATAAAAAGAAGGAAAAATTTTGTTTGTTTTGTACTGCATGTATTTTGTTTGTGTTTTTAAATAAAGAAATTGTGTATGCAAGTTAACATTAGTTAACATTCCCTACATATAATTATTTATTTTACTTTACTATTTATTATAAGTCAACATAGTAGTTAACATTAGTTAACATTCCCTACATATAATTATTTATTTTACTTTACTATTTATTATAAGTCAACATAGTTGACATAAATATTGCTTATTACGTATAAATTATTTTACCTGTTTACAACAGTATTGAAATGTTCTCACAATACTGTTGACAGGTTACCCTAAATTTGTTTATTGGAATCGGGTTGCAGCATGTGAACTGCAACTCAGCATTTTTTTAAAGTAAGAAAGAATTAGACTAAGAATGTTAAGGTAGAATTAAGAATTTAAAAATTAAAATAAATCAGATCTGTTTCTCACCAACAACCGAAAGGTCGTTTTATTTAACTGGCGCCCAACGTGCTTTGAACGCTATCAAAAAAGTAAATTTGTAAAATTGAAGATAATGTTGAAAGCTTTGAATCCTAGTTAATTCTTGTGAAAGTGAATTTAAGGACTGGCAGTTGTAAAGTGAAAATTTTAATAAATTTGTGAAATCAAAATTTACAAAAACTAATATAATTAATAAAAATTAAAAGTAATTAAAATTTATTTAAATTCGTGAAATTAATCAGAATTGAATACTAATTATCTGGATTTTAATTAACATTATAAAATTATTTAAAAAACTAGTAGCTAACATATAAAGTGAATATTTTAATAAATTTGTGAAAACAAAATTTACAAAAACTAATATAATCAAAATTAAAAGTTACTAAAATTTATTTAAATTCGGGAAATTAATTAGAATTGGATTCTAATTATCTGGATCTAATTTAAAAATATTTGCAACTTTAAAAATTTTTAATTAACATTATAAAATTATTGTCAAAGTGAATTGAAAAATTAATAATTATAAAGTGAAACTTTTGGAAAAACTGTGAAATTAAAATTTGTAAAAACTAACACAAGTTAAAATATTTCGTAAAATTAAGTGCGAAAATACAATAGAAATAAAATTGAACTTGAGATTTATTTCTATTAATTGAAAATAAATTAAAAATTGCTGTTAATTCTGTTGAGTGAAGCATACAATAGCCGTCGTATGCCATCGTTGGAATCAAGATTGAAGCTGCAACAATTGCAATTGGAAATTGGACAAATTCATCGAGGGATTGATAAAAATATAATGTTATTTATGTGAGTGTTATCCTTTTAAGAATTCTGTTAATTATTAAGTAAAATTTTTTTTTTGTTGTAAATTCAAATTGACTAAGAAAGTCTAATTTAAAAATATTTGTAAAAAATTTTTATTGAAATTATTTTAATGAATATCGTGTAAACTGCGTAATTCTAAATAAAATTATTAAGAATAATTTTTCTTTTTGTTTAAAATTATTCAAGTTATTAAAATCATTGATTAAATAAAAATTATTTTAATTCAAACATTGCTAAAATTACAGATTTTCTAAATTTTTTT